CAGTCTGGGAGTGAAGCTGTTCTTGTAGCTTTCAAGGTTAGAAGTTACAGCTTGACCATTTTTCCTCAGTGTACTGTGGGGTTGTTGTTTTTGACTCCCACATTTAACAATATGACTCAGTTCATTGTTTTTCCACCCATCACGGCGTGCATCATCACTTTCATTCTGTCTTCTATCTCTTCTTCAGATAACACAAATGCCAACAGAACCAAAAAGACCTCTAACTCTGTTCACGACACCGATAGCATTTTCTAAAACAAGAGCCCCTCATGCGTGCAGTCCATTAGGCCCCCGCCACACAAACAGACCTGCTTTGTTGAGGTGTTATATCAACAGGGTGACCTCCCCTCTACTCCTCCCCAGCTTCCTTGGGCCCCCCAACGGCAGGAGATTGATGTCAACAAGGAATTTTGGTCCCACGTTTTCTTCTGCCTCCTCCAGACCAAACGCTGCTCCTAAAAAACACTTGCTCCAGCACGCAGGGCCCCAGTGAGGCCCATTACCATCAACCTTACTGCCACTTTCTCCCAGCAACAGGTCTACACGAGCGCCAGAAACACCCCAAGTGAACAAGAAGCTCTGCAGAAAACTTCACCGGGAAAACCAACCATGTGTGCTTACTTGTGGAAATAAGCCGCCTTGTTTTATGAACAGAGTTGTTGCTACGAGGGGAGGGTCAGCATGGTTGCGTCATCTGTGAACCGTGTCATCGGCAAAAGAGCTGCCAAAAGAATTCAGACCTGCTAAAATGTGACCTTGTTTCTTGGGTGGTGCTTGTCAAACATTCACAAGAAACAAGAACCTGCAAAGCAGCTGCTGGTTCTACTGATCCGCAGAGCTCGACAAGGAAGGAGTGTTTGCAAAAACAAAAATCACATCCATGTTGATGCCATGTAGCTCCAAATATTTCAACCCATATAAAGGTTTAAGTAAAGCGTTCATATTACAATGACATTCTGTGTGTAACAATGAGACTGTGGCTTGCAGTTTGTTTTTGTTTTTATTTGCGTTTACGGGATCTTCAGTTACCTGGACAGGGGCGTTTACACAACTTAGGCAAGCAGAATAGTCCTTCATCAGTCCAACAGGTTTTACATTATTGAATTAAATAGATTCAGCAAGAATATGTATAGGCCTAAATTACAAGATCAAAGTGTTGTAAACCATTACAGGAATAGCAATTAAAAGCCTCTGTATGTCCTGGATATCACATTTACATATTTCAGATTACCCGAATAAATGGAAATGTAAGTTCATAAAAGAGAAAATTGCAAAAAGTTTTTTTTTTCTTTTTTTTTTTTTTACAAATTAATCTGGTGCCATTGGAAAAAGTAACTGGTGAATTTGGCCCACTCTTTGCAGATTTATTTTAATTCAACAATACTGGACAATTCACAAGCACAAATTTAGTTTTTAAGGCCATATACCACATATTGATTACATTAAGTCCAGACTTTGACTAGGCCAAATCAAAACTGTGATTTTGCTTCATTTTGGAGTCATTTAGAGATAGACTTAATTTGAATTATCTTGCTAAATAACCTAAGTTGACTTCGCTTTAGATCTACCATTGATGTCATAGTTTTTGAGATCTTTTGGCCTACTTCATGTTGTCAGACAGGTCCTACTTAAGTAGTTTCTTGATTCTACAAATCTGGCTGTATTCGGGCATGGATTTGGTGAGTGAAATGAAAAAAAAAAAAACTGGTAAAATGTACATTTTACCAATTATATATATATAATTATATTTCAAGACAGGCAACATTGGTTTGAACGTCTTCCTTCAATAAAAAAGGAAATAATTTAAAACCTTCATTTTGTATTTAGTCAGGTTATCTTTGTCTGACATTAAAACGTGTTCATCTGTAGGCAAAGTAAAAAGGATGGAGAGGAGATACTTTTTTCACACCACTGTGAAATCAATTTACACTGACAAAAGTACTTGCTTTGTTGTTTTCTACTATGCCTTATTGAAGTTACTAAACAAAAAGAAGAAACTAATCTGGAGACAATGATATCTTTTACAGTTTGTCATTTTTTTTTTTTTTTTCATATAAGAAAAGATCATCCATGACTCACTGAACATGAGGTTCTTTCAGTGACAAGGCATGAGTCAGAAGATAAAGTGTTCAACAGGAACAAAAGGTGTAATAACGACATTCATCCCATCCTTTCTTTAACAAAATGCTTGGGTTGCGGCTGTTGCTCTCCTCATGGCAGATAAGTGACATCATGATAGAGACAGACGTGTGCAATTGGTAACCGCTAAACATCCTGAGAGGATCATTCGGTTGTAATTCTAATAGGAAGTGGACTTAGTAGTAGGATCTATTATCAAAGTTGAAGACTGAATTAAATTAGGCGTGACTCAACTTTCAGTACAAACTTTTACGGGGCTTTTTCATGATGTGTTGATGTCATGAATTAAAAGCCTAACAGCCAATCCGTCATGAGTATGTGAACTCACGTGTCAGCAGTGTTTGTGAACTGTTCTGCAAAGTCAATACTTCCTAAGACTGATGCAATAAAATATGCCAGAGGAAACATCATGGTAAGACCAGTGGTTAATGTGGGGGGCTCAGACAGTATTATTTGACTACATTAACGTCGGACAACAAAAGATCAGTCTTGCCGAGCTTAAAGCAGGCAGCTGCTTTTTGAAATAGAACGAGATTGGGGGGTTTCCATAACTATTGTGGCTTTGGCTCAAGAACATAATGTCTATAATAATTACTTAAAGTCATATGAACTATATCAGGGGGATTAAGCGTTTAGAGTCACAACAGAATCTGGAATATAACCTCTCTCTCCCGTTTCCTTCCCATCGCAGATTTCACATTACTGTAAAACAGCTACACTGGTGGTCCAGGCTGGGGAATACAGATGGCCTTCTCTCCAGGCATCCTTCAGAGCTATCCATCTAAAGCGTTCAATAGGCCTGCAGATGATGCTTGTGTGTAGATAGGTTTGCGTGGGGGAGTTTGTGAGAGTGCAGGAAAGTGAGGTTACAGACACATGTGTGAGCAACTGTTCAGGGAACGCTAGACATAACATCCAACAACAAAGGGCTCCTTCTAAGAGGGAATTATTGGTAGAGCTTGATGGGAAAACAGAAAGGAGGGCAGAAAAAAACCACATGCAATGCCTTACTCTTGGCCTTTACCATATCTTGTCACAAAAAAAGCACACATTTCAGCGTGTTTATTAGAATTGCATTTGATAAAGTGACACAAAGAAAGGCAAAGTCTGCTTTGAATGAAAGGAATTGACAAAAGGTTTTTAAAAGGTTTGCAAATGAAGATCTGAAAAGTGTGGTGTCAATTTTTGCCATGGCCACCTGAGCTACCTTATACAGCTGCAACTATTTAAGGATGTGTGTCTAAAAACTTTAAACACAGGGACAGAAAATGTTGCAAAACTTTCTTTAGAAAATAAACTTAAATTCTGTCAGATCGGGTGGAGTCTCAATTTATCATAGGTTTAGACTTTGGTTAGCCTATTAACATATGGGATTTGATTTAACCATTCCATTAAAGCTCCGGCTGTATGTTTAAGATAGTTGCCCGGCTCCAAGGTGAACACCTGAGCCAGTCTTTTGCAAACTAACAGGACTGACTTGCATGTACGCCAAAAGGTTCCCTGTGTACCTTGCAGCAAATTGCAAACATGATATTTTTGGCTTTAATTTAACAACTTTTTTCTTGCTACTCTTCCATAGAGGCCAGTTTTGAGGTGTTAATAACGAATAGCTGTCCCATCGACAGATTATCCTGCCTGAGCTGTGGATCTTGGCGGTACTTGGGGCCTCTTGGTAGATCCTACGATTAGCCAAGCCAGCAGCATGGTTTTTCATTTTCCAAGCAATGAACTCCACAGTGCTCTGTGTTTCATTCAAAGCTTGGAATACTGCTGTGTAACCTATCCCTGCTTTTAGCCTCATGCCTGACATGTCTGGTTTGCACCTTGCATTCATAATGCAAAGGTTTGTTAACTTGGCTAAGGAACTGATTCTTTCTGAGGAGGAATGAGTGTAATGTCAGACATAACGTATTTAACTAGATATCAAAGTGTTGTTTCATTAAGAAACGTCTCCTTACTTTTGCTATTTAAGAAAAAGAGATACTACTTAAAGGTTTCCATGTCATAAAATACATTTTTTAGAAAGAAAACACTTAAGGGGAAGGAGTGGAAGGAGAGTTTGTAATTTGGCACATAGATGTTTTAATAGAACATCTCTTTGAAATGTGTCTGAAGTGGAAACAGTTGCAGAGCACTCAAAAGGTTACGTATGTTATAAAAAGCTATTGTAAAAATAGCACAAAAACGAGTGTAAAACCTTGAAAATTGATTCATTTTGTTAATCTCTTGTTAATGCAGACAACAAGTCCTTAGTGCAAGTAACAAGTTCCTGCACCTTCAAGCTTTACTTTAAAAACAGAATCATCCTTCCACATTCATACCAATGAGCAATTTGAATCAACAGTTAGAACAGAAATTAGTAAGAGGGAATTAAATTGATTATAATTATGCCACTAAACTTTAGGAGCTTTGACAAACATTTCAGTTCTCACTGTTGCTTAAGAGACTAAACCTTACTCTGCTCTATTTAATAAGCACTTGAGAGCTCTTGTTCAAGGCCTGACTCAGAGTGTAAGCATGATTTTTTTTTCCATCTACAGATAATCTTATATAATTCTTTTGAAAACCTCTAATTACAGTGCCTTACATGGATTGTTTTCTCTAAAACAATCCTAATTGATTTTTCTGTGTCAACAAATTTAACGTTAAGACAATACTGCACACTGAACTTGTGCCAAAGGGCACCAAAAATGTGCAACATTGATGTTACTCTGCTATAACTTCCGAGATACGCATGATGTAGTCTTCCTTTCAAATGTGCAGTAGGGGGGGTGGGGGGGAGAATGTATATGCAAAAGACAAAATAAAGTTTGTGCATATGAGAAGAACCAGCAGCAACAACAGGAAACAGTCCAGTTCACCTGATTTGGTGCTCTTGCTGCAGGCTTGTCCTGGTGATTGGCGAGAATGAGGAACGGCAGTGTGCAGAGCTGAGGGTGCTGCAGAGCTGAGTGGAGCTCATTCCGCGCTGACTCAAGGTCCTCGTCCGATGATGCGCTATCCAGTACGAAGATTACACCCTGTGACCCCTGGTAGTAACGACTCCAATATTTCTTGATGTTGTCAGCTCCTGTAGACACATAGAAGAACGGTGAATCGGTGTGTTTACCAACATGGGATCACAGCTGCTCAAGGTTACACTAATTCTGATAATGGACAATAAGTTATCTAAATTATTAGGTAATATTTAAATGCTTATACAAGAACAGGAACTCTTGGATACTAAACAGCTTAACATCTCGAGACATTTTCACCTCTGTAGACGTCCTATTAAACTAAAGCAGTAAAAACTGTTCCAAAAACCAGCAGCAGTTCTCAGATCTGCTGCTGGTTTTTATTAAGTTCTAACCCCAAACTTCACACCAGGCAGTTGGTGCAACCTTTCTTACATATGATGGCAATAAAAGGTTAATGTTTTTCAGGTCTTTTACAGTAAATTCTGTTAATTTTGACCTTTTTCCAAACTAGGTGTAATATCTCTGAACACCTAAATGTTTTATGTGGTTTTCTGACCTGGGATGTATTTAATAAAAGAACTGAAATAAAATAAATAAATAAAAAAGAACAACTATTAACATTTTTTAGAAGAAAAAAAAAATCAAATAATAATGATTCATTACAAACTTTATTATCTTGAAGTTTTAAGGTAGAGCTGCCATCTGCATCCTGTCTTTTGACTTAGTGTAGTTATACAGACATCTCATCACACAGCAAATGTATTCATACCAACTTAACATTATTTTTACATTTTGTCACATTACAAGCACAACCTTACATATTTTATTTAATTTGATATCATACAACCCACACAGAGCAGTCTAAAAGTGGGAGCAAAAAGAAAAATGACTGTTTTCTGAATGTTTCTAAAATAAGAATTTTAAGAGTTGTAACATCTAAAGAACACTTCTTAACAGCAATGTTTAAGTCTTGCCACAGACTTAAACAGACTGCTTGGACTGGGCCATACTCATGTGTTTGCTTTAGCTTAAGCTGCTCTGCAGCTCCTCCAAAACAACAATATTTCCTCTTGGCTGCGTTTGGCGTCTTCTCTGCTTGCCAACCTTTCCCAGTTTAAGAGGCGACCCATGTGGTGGTAGGTTTGCAGTTGTGTTGCATTTTCTGAAAAAAATCAACAATACTAAAAGCTAGTGATAAATTTAATCCCACTTTAAACTTCTTCACTAATTTCTCCTTGACCTGTCTGCTCTATTACATCATATTCATGATGATGTCGGTCACTATTATTCTCTAAAAAAGAAAAAAAGAAAAAAAAGAAAACACTGAGGCCTCAGATTTATACTGAGATTAAATTGCACATATAAAAAACTATTATCTCATTAGGAGTAAAATGTTTGTGCTGGATTTTTTTAGGGGCATCAGAAAGAAAATACAAATACAGGTCACACTTTTTAGATTTTAAAAAAAAAAAGCATTTATGGTATTGTTTATTTCAGTATCACTGCTAGGGTAAATACAGAAAAGTGAAATCAGCAATTGTCATGTGACAAAATGTGAAAAATCTCAATGGATATAAATACTTTCACAAGCACTACATGTTCAAGTAAATTAAGTTTGATCTAGTTCCCATTAAAATATATAGTTTTTCTCTCTGCATCTAGTAAATTGAGTTAGAAAAGCAGAGTTATGTAGACAAGGAGAACAAGATGTCCTGCAACAGATGGCATGGCCCCCACCGAGCCCTACTCTCAACATCATGGAGTCAATCTGGGATTATAAAAGGAGACAGAAGCAACCGAGACAGTCTAAATCCACAGGAGAACTGTGGCCAGTTCTCTGAGGTCTTTAACCTTCCAACAAAGCACCAAAAAGTTTTTATCCCAAGTTTTTCCAGCTTTTCTTTTATGGAAAATTCCTGTCATCTTTAGGAACCATACGGCTGTATGTACTTAGACTTGTTACCACACCAAAACTCCCTTTGTTTGTTCTTGTTATATCAGCAGTCATATGCAGGTGTCTGTCTTTAAAAGTATTAGTCATTAAAAAAAATAAATAAATAAAAAAAAGAAAAAAAAATCAGCAAAGAAAAGTTGCAGTCACAATTTATGGCCAAATTAGGAGATTAAACTCTTTCAAAGCAGATATCCTGGCTTGATAAATCCAGGTCCAGTAAAATCACAAGAGAAAACATGTTTTGATATTGTTCAAAGCAACTAAAGCTATTCATGCAGATCCCAAACTCTATATTACTAACTTTATAAGGCTTTTTAATACTTTGTTTTTACAAATTAAAAAAAAAGTTTAAAATGAAAAACAAATGCCTTTTACTCCTTACCTGGAACCCTCACTGCTTGTCCATTACTAAGAAAACTCTTATAACATTATAACTTAATGAACAGAAAAAACAAAATGAGCCCAAAGTCTATTTGTCATGGCAATGAAACACAGATAAAGATATTTGTTTTTTATAATTCTGTTCAACTGAATTATTTTTTGAAAATATCTAAGTCACCCTCATGGGTTTTAGAACAGTTACTGATGATTATGATGAGGTTACTGGTTTCTTCAAAGGCTAAACATGTAGCTTAAATTAGCAACAACTGTGAATCTGACACATACTACAAATATTGGAGCAGCTTTTTGGAATAATGTTATTGCACACACCCATTTCTCACCTTTTTTTTTTACTAGCAATAAATTAACAATTTTGTAATTTTTTTCAAAATCAATGAAAAAACAGCAATGACTGAGTGCTAATAGCCATTACCTTTTCAGATCCAAGTTAAACTAATAGGAACCATGTCTTGCACGTTCATATCCTCAGTGGCACTCATCGTCTGAGCACTAGAAGAGCTTTCCCCTCAAATCTGTTGTGAGTAACCAAAGCCAGCTGCTGATCTTCAGCACATTTCTATCAACTTTCAAAGCAAAATGAGAAGACTTGTGAAAATCTAAAACAGACACAGCAGAGTTTTTGCTAACTAGTTTAGCTGCCTGATTGTTTTCTGCCAACATCAACTGCTTTTTTCACAAGAAAATACTTTATTTTTTGTGTGTGTTGACTGGATCTAAAAGCTTGATGCGTAGTCTCAGAAATTGTCCCGTCACACTGCACACGCAAGTATGATCCTTATCAGAAGAATGCACCATATTTGGACAAAACGATCCTCCTCCGTTCGCTGAGGTTACTTCCTTTGTAATCTTGCAAACTGTTGTTTTGTGTTTTAGTTGCTCATAGTATTCAAACTGCCAAGAAATGACGAGCTGTGAGGCTGTCAAATGTTTAAACATCACACAGTCCTCTCACTGACATTTACCTCCCTTCCCTTCATGCTCACCCTTCCCTTCCCCGTTTCCTCCCCCAGTCAATCCACTCACACCTCTCACTGGAGTGAAAAGCTATCAGACAAAGTGGCACTTGAGAGATTGTCTAGGAAGTTTCGTCTTTGCCTGGAAATGGTGGAATGTCTGTCATGCTTCTGGATCTTGTTGGCAGCTTCTGCCACCTATTGGTCTGACAGGGAGGATTTCTGAGGATGATGTCATGCCACAGCATCCTTTTAATCAAACAGGCACATCATGAGTAAGACCTTTCATCTTTTGGACAATTTCTTTATTTTTTTTTCCCTTTCAGTAATAGGAATCTGATTACTGCTTGAAAATGCATTTAAAGTGGAGGTTTTTATTTTAAGTGGGAGAAAAAGCCAAAAATGCCACCGGAGAAGTGAGATGCTTCTTATTGACTGTTCGAAGAAGAAGCCAACCATGAAATGAAAGACTCATCATCTCGTTCGACCCATGACGGCACAAATTAAATAATGAGCGGCTCTCCAGTGATAAATTAACTGAGACATGAACTACGTTGGAAGAATTACATGAACAAACAGGAAAAACATGAACTCTATTGCAATCATCTGGCCACTTAAAGAACCGCACACCATGATGTGAAGTCGTCAGGTATGCGAGTGTTTCAAAGAGCGGTTTTCAACAGCCTTTGCACTTCTTTTGACTTGATATATTAAGCTGCTAGGTTAAAATGTGGGCGCAAGGGGCAACAGCACAAGATAATTGTTGGCAAACGCAAGGGCGCCTTAACTTTTAGTTAAGACTACAATGATGTGTCAGCTATTTTTTAAAATACTAACATGGTATTTAAAAAAAACCCTATGTTAACTAACTATGTTTAGTTTATGTTTAGTATTTTAAAAAATAGCTGACACATCATTGTTTGTAAATCTTTTAGAATGCACATGTGGATTAAATCCATTGTGAGATAATGAGATTCACCAATGGTTTTTGGCTAAAAGCCCCCCCCTTGCACAGTTATATAATTGAGCCACAACACATGTTTCATCTTACTTAGTCTTAACTAAAAGTTAAAGCATCTTGTGGTGTTGCTTCTTCTGTTGTCTTATTGAAATATTCAACCCCAGTGAGCTTTGTATTAAAAATGAAAATCTTTCCATTTCATTTCGGATTTTTGTGTTTTTTTTGGGGGGTGGGGGAGGGGTTCCTTGCAAACAAAATCAGAGATTTTCTGGTGCTAAATTAGAAATATTTGCAAGGAATCCAAAATCTGTATAAGAAAAAGTCAATTGTAGTCTTCCTTTGTTGGTCCAGTAAGTTATTGCAAGGTGTGCAAAATAATTTTCCCTCACTGCAGTGGAGAACTAAAGGTTACTACTGCTTTGCTCGTGCTTTTGCATGACGGTAAATGTAACTTTTTTGTTTATAGCCGTATTGATCATGGAGTATAACTGGTGGCAGCTGAAGTAAGGCCGAAGCAGAAGCATGAAAGAAGGAAAGGTTAGGCTAGGCTTTTTCGTTATCTGTCATTTTTACTGACAGGTTAAATAAATAAAAAATCCATGATAACCTATTTTTGCCCGTCAGTTTACGAAATGGTAACATTCACCCCTACTTCGCTGGAGAAAATTCTGTAGCATGGACTCCTATTGCACAAGTGTTCCTGTCCATAACTCTTCAATGTGCAGTCAGATCCCGGATAGCGAGATACATTGAGTTCAGGTTAGACACGTTACAAAGATGGGACTTCTTTTTTTTTTTTTGTTTTTTTTCCGATTGATCTGTGTGCAAAGTTTAATATGTGTG